GCTCCTGTTCAAATTTAGCAAAAATTCTGCTGAAATGCACCTCAAACGTATCGAAAATTGGGTAGAGAATCAAATTTAGTTGAAATTCAGTACAAATCCCATTCAAATATGTTTAAAGTTTTGCTACTGTTCAAATTTAGCAAACATTCTGCTAAAATGCACGTCAAAAGCATCCAAAATTGGGTAGAGAATCAAATTTAGTTGAAATTCAGTACAAATCCCATTCAAATATGTTTAAAGTTTTGCTACTGTTCAAATTTAGCAAAAATTCTGCTGAAATGCACCTCAAACGTATCGAAAATTGGGTAGAGAATCAAATTTAGTTGAAATTCAGTACAAATCCCATTCAAATATGTTTAAAGTTTTGCTACTGTTCAAATTTAGCAAACATTCTGCTAAAATGCACGTCAAAAGCATCCAAAATTGGGTAGAGAATCAAATTTAGTTGAAATTCAGTACAAATCCCATTCAAATATGTTTAAAGTTTTGCTACTGTTCAAATTTAGCAAAAATTCTGCTGAAATGCACCTCAAACGTATCGAAAATTGGGTAGAGAATCAAATTTAGTTGAAATTCAGTACAAATCCCATTCAAATATGTTTAAAGTTTTGCCACTGTTCAAATTTAGCAAACATTCTGCTAAAATGCACGTCAAAAGCATCCAAAATTGGGTAGAGAATCAAATTTAGTTGAAATTCAGCACAAATCCCATTCAAATATGTTTAAAGTTTTGCTCCTGTTCAAATTTAGCAAAAATTCTGCTGAAATGCACCTCAAACGTATCGAAAATTGGGTAGAGAATCAAATTTAGTTGAAATTCAGTACAAATCCCATTCAAATATGTTTAAAGTTTTGCTACTGTTCAAATTTAGCAAACATTCTGCTAAAATGCACGTCAAAAGCATCCAAAATTGGGTAGAGAATCAAATTTAGTTGAAATTCAGTACAAATCCCATTCAAATATGTTTAAAGTTTTGCTACTGTTCAAATTTAGCAAAAATTCTGCTGAAATGCACCTCAAACGTATCGAAAATTGGGTAGAGAATCAAATTTAGTTGAAATTCAGTACAAATCCCATTCAAATATGTTTAAAGTTTTGCCACTGTTCAAATTTAGCAAACATTCTGCTAAAATGCACGTCAAAAGCATCCAAAATTGGGTAGAGAATCAAATTTAGTTGAAATTCAGCACAAATCCCATTCAAATATGTTTAAAGTTTTGCT